CATTAGTATCGTCCTATAAGCAAAAGCAGAAGACAAAGATACTAAAGGACGTTCACAATTTCAAAACCAGAGACCGAACCCAAAATCTCCTCTTCGACGGTTGCTAAAGACCGTTCCTCATGTATACACGCTTCTGATGAATCTGAAAAAAAAATTTACAACCTAAAATCCGATGATAGTTAGTAGAAAATCTGCGACCCTTGCTAGTCTATAGTTCCTGGAGCAGATATGATATAGCTGAAGAAGTGCCATTTGAAAATGAATGTTGTCGATTCTCGAACGAGCTTGTCGAACAGGCGAGATATATTATTACTCATGTAGTAGTTTTAGATAGTTTAGAAAGAGCAGCTTCCCAAAGTGCGGGCATTGGAAGGGAGAAGAAGGTGTTGTATATTTTGTAATTTAGATGAAAGCAAGGAATATGCCTAAGAAAAATGGTGAGAATTTTAGAAGTTTGGCGAATAAAACCAACTTAATAGGGCAGTAAAAGAAAGGTACGCGTCGTCTATAAACGTTGAAACAAAGGTTACCGTGAGAAATCACTGTTACAGAGTAATGGTGAGTATTCCAAAACTGAAAAAGTTTATGCTGCTCCTCCTAAGGGAGATGTGCAGAAGACACTACTAATAATAAAGGCAATAGCAATGTATCCAGCAGACAGAAAAAATTTAAAATTAAAGATGAAGTACTAACTTCTATTATAAAAGCTTCCCCAAGCCCAGTAAGGTCGGAAGTTTATCTCCGATCGGTCCACAAGTCTTCGTTGCACAAAACAGTCAATGTTGATTAAGCGAAAGAACAATCACTAGTCGATCAACTACGCCAAGACCGCGAACAACGAACTGACGTACAACAATGCCATATAATGCTACACTAAGAACATTCAGTCCAATATCTAGCCGTCCAAAGGCCGACTACTCTCATGTAACTAGCGTTTACGCCGCCTACCCAAAATATGATAAGAGACTACAACCAAGGAAAAAAAAAAAAAACCCAACAAAAAAAAAGACAAATCACTAAATCTTCCGAACCATCAGTTGAAAGATGCTCAACGAAAGCGCCTAAGTACACCTACCTCAACTGTTATGACAGATACATGCAAGCAACTTTGGCAACACAGCTTGCGATACGCACATACACAGTCCACGTCTAAGGCAAGCAGACTTAGCTTCGGATACTGCGTTGAGATCAAATCACCTGGACCAGCAGTGTTACAGCCAAAAGGTAAGGCAGCTAACTAACTCCTATCACTTCTACAACTACTATATGAATGCACAAAGACGATATGTACGCAATCTATCGCAAAGAGGAGAAAACACTCCAATTTTAAAAGTAGTTTGACGAATTTAAAAAAAGACTCAACTCAGTAATAGCAAGGAAACCATAAAAAAGCACTAAAAAAATTATATAATAGAAACCAATTAGACAAGCCAACAAGCTGTGGATAGCACATAGCGAAACAAGTTAACTGATAAATCCATGTCCCCAAAACAAGTAAGGAAATGAGTTAATATATTGAATAGTCAATCAAAGTAAAATAAGGCACAAATTAACAGACCAAGGATAAACGCAAATTAATGTGTCTACCGGAAGAACGCATAGAAGCGTAACACGTAGACAGCTTGAAGAAACGAAAAGTCTTAACACGAAAGAAAGACCCAGCATCGGTCGAAGGTTCGCATTAGCGTTCTTCCAATATAACGACTAAGAAGAAATAATTAAAACTACTAGAACAGAAAGTAATTTGGGCGAGATAAAACCACGTAATGCAATAGGCTGTTGTAAATACGGATAGTGCCAATGAAACGGAACAAGCCGAAGAAAAGAAACCAAAACTAGGAAAAGTGATTGTTGAAGAGTACAAAAAGAAAATTAAAGATTCTATAATGATCCAGCATGAACGGGCAGCGACAATCGAGCGCCAGTGTTCATGAGTAGTGTACGTAAATATAACGCGCACTCACACAAATATAAAAAACTTGATAAAGATGTGGCTAACCTGCGAATGTGGCAGAAAAGTCTGTTTTTACCCACAGTCGAAAATATCTAGATACCAGCCCGTACCACACCACTACGGTAGTTTAAAGTTAACCCGAAGCCAGTAGCTTGCTATTGTCAGCACAGTTATAATGTGATGACGATGCCCGAAATAACCCGCTCATTTAAATCCACGGAGAGTAACAAAAGTTCTAACCTCATCTTCCTGGAAGCAGAAAGTAAAAACCAGTGAAGTTTTTTACGAAAACATTTGGACCAGAAAAGCTTTTTGAAGTTTATTTTATCGACAACGCAGACAATGATATGGATTTAGCATCCATTGCCCGGCCACCATCAAACAGACCAACGTTGTACAAACGAGTTTTGATGTTAGTTCATTGATACAACCGATTCCAGTTTGTCCGATCAAGTTGCTTTGCCAATGTTAAATACGGAACAGGACCGTTTATTAGCTGCAAAGTCCAGGCTCACCAAACCAACACGTAGCCCACTAGCCTAATCGAGAGAAACACTGCGTAGGCAGCAAGCCGGCTATGCTGTGGATCCCCGCGCTAACATGCAATTTGGTGCCTCCGGCATACGTAAGGCAGTATAAGCCCCCCCCCGAAAACCAAATCATCGCGAAATTCTAGATCGGAGCAAAACGAAACGCCAAAAGGTAATAAACAGTTTGTCCACGTAATTTAGTTAGTTTTGGGAATAAGTTTATTTAGTTCACAGTTAAGTGATTTTAAAGTATAATATGTAAATGCTACGGTACGTATAAACGTCAAACAATACATATGCATATTGTCTATGATAGATTACTAGTACAAAGCCATCACACTGTTTTTATTGACAAGTTTGCATATATATAAGAATTTATAAACATAAACACAAAAACACAACTTTGTAATAAATTACAATATTTCGAAATTCGAAATGTTATTCAATTTATACTACAAAATACCTTTTTAATAGAGGTACTGGCAGACTAGACAACTTAGTTTAGAGCTTTTTAGTAGGCCAATATTTTAATTAAAACATATGGTACATAAGTATTACTGTTTGGATCGAGTTCGTTAATTTAATGGAAATGATAAGTAAACTTGGAATTCTGAATATAAGAATATAATAGTTTTGCTACAGTCAGTAAAAGAGTAGGGACCGATATAAGTTAAATGACTCTTTCTGATATTCGTTATGTAAATAAAACCTATTTCGTATTCACAAGGACCGATAGTACTATTGTATACATTTTATAAATATCGTCAACCCTCTATATTCCTAGATATTATACCTGAAATTTTGGTATCTAAAAGTTTCTATGCCTATTAGAAGTAGATCAAATAAAAATTAACAGAAAACGATCGTACATAGTATCGAATCATAAAAGGCTGTTCTCGGACCATGGGTCGCGTTAATATAATAAAGTACCTTCTTAAGCAATCGGTATTCATACAATATAATATGCAGCTTACATGATTAAAAAAATACTTTCTTAGTTTATCAGTCTCGTTGTGAACACTTGCAACCCCATTTAAGTAAGCATGCAACCAGTTGCAGCCTGAAAGCACTCCCTGAAATCATTAAAAAATCGATCGAGAATATAATTTATTTGTAAAGTAGCCATTGTGATGCATTAACAGCTGATAAACGTGCCGCTCGGTGTATACTACTTAATTTCAACATGTTCACACATCTCGCAGATTTCGAACATGGTACAAAGACATGTTACATTTCATAAGAATATACAATTTTTGTTGGCATATACTTGTTACTCGTATAACGTCAACAACTTCTAAAAGTGTAACAAAATGCGTCAAATTAATTAAAATGTGGCTGTTAATGGGTATTTCATACAACAAAGTTTGGAGTAGCGATGCTGTGTGGTATGAATACCAATCTAAATGCTTTAACCTGCTTTCGGTAAATTATTATCGACTATTTTAAATGTTAATTTAATATAAATTTGGAGAATAACTCAAAATTTAAAATCAATTTGACTCTTCACAAATAGCAATACTCAAAACTCAACACTGTTAATAAAACATTTTAAGTTACTCTATCTAAACCAAAACCATACAAACCAAAATGTCCACAAAGTTCCCATGCATTTCGTTACCTCCACCAACGATCATGCGGAATCGAATCATCAGAAAGATTCTCCAGCAATGATATGGGATTCATAATTTTAATACGGGTGAAGTAAACAGTGTTGAGGATTTCGACAGTCAGACTGACTGAATGTTTCAGAAAGTTTCCACAATACACTCATTACCTAACAAAATGAGAAAGACAATGATGCCACTGATATGCGAAGAACTACAATGACACTGATTCTGATGATGGCGAAGAAGAAAAGAGCATGTTTACCCTGAGATTAAAGTTATCCCTTAAGAATTTTTTTGCAGGCAGGATTGCGCGAACAAAGTATGGTCGACAATGAAACCAAAGAAAAGTGGAGAACAAAGCGGTGATTTTTTGCAAGCACAAAATTTTGAACAAAACGAGCGATTTTTCTAAACAGACTGGCAGACTATACAATACGGGATTCCGATTGGAAGAAACGGTTGTGACGGTCGGTGTGTGTTGACTTAAGATGCTGCCCGTTGGTGAACAGGGTAGAGTATTTATTGGCTGATAGCGCGCGTTCTAAACTACGGCGACTGAACACTCTGATGAATACGAAGATTTATCTGTGCTAAAGGCGACATTAGTGAGCTCGCACTCGGCGCTGTCGGATGTTGCTGGTCCCCGGCGGCGCACAGTGGCATGTCCGAGGCTGAAGTGCTAGAGATCTTCGGGCGAATGAAGAGGAGTGCCAAATCGTAGTTTCCAGATCTGGATCCGATGAATGATGACCAAGGTAAATATACGGCGATAGTGCTAGTAATACAAGTTTGCCGCCTATTGATGTACGCATTCATCAGCAGTGGCAGTCAGCAGCCGTAGAAAGCAACAACTATGTCCCTTAATAAGAAATGCTTTTCTGCGGTGGCAATACATGTGTAGAGGAGGTATTAACAGATGTTGAAAAACTTGATGACTCTGCCGCGGAGGATAGCTTCGATAGCGAGGAAGAAGAGAAATCCATACCCAGAGCGGGAAATTGGTTGAACGTCTTTAGTATCTTTGTCTTCTGGTTTGCTTACAGACGATACTAATGGTAACACCTGTTTTATATCAGTGAGTTTAGGTTTGTCAAACTCTTCTTCCGATTCATCAGAAGAGTACACATGAGGAACAGGCCTAGCAATGTCTAGAGGAGATTTTTGTTTGTCTTCTGGTTTTGAAATTGGTTGAACGTCTTTAGTATCTTTGTCTTCTGGTTTGCTTACAGACGATACTAATGGTAACACCTGTTTCATATCAGTGAGTTTAGGTTTGTCAAACTCTCCCTCTGATTCATCAGAAGAGTACACATAAGGAACAGGCCTAACAATGTCCAGAGGAGATTTTTGTTTGTCTTCTGGTTTGGAAATTGGTTGAACGTCTTTAGTATCTTTGTCTTCTGGTTTGCTTACAGAAGATACTAATGGTAACTTCTGTTTCATATCAGTGAGTTTAGGTTTGTCAAACTCTTCCTCCGATTCACCAGAAGAGTACACATGAGGAACAGGCCTAACAATGTCTAGAGGAGATTTTGGTTTGTCTTCTGGTTTTGAAATTGGTTGAACGTCTTTAGTACTTTTGTCTTCTG